GCCCGCCTCGCGCGCCCGCCCGCTCGCTCGCCCGCCCGCCGCGATGGGGCGGGGCGTTGTTACCGGCAACGGTTACCAGGCTCCACGCCCCACCCCTCAACGGCCCGCCTACGCCCGCCTCCAACGGGCGCGAGGAGGGCCGGGTGTAAGGCCCTAAGATACTCCATTGGCTGCCCGCAGAGTCCGTCAGAGGGGGCGTCCCCTGGCGGGGATGAGGGAGAGGCTTGACCAATCGCCGCGAAGGAGGGCGTGGCTTGACGGGAGGCGCTCGCGGCTCGGAGGGTTGGCGAGCGGGAAGCGCGCGCGGCTCCCGGTGGGTGGCGCTGCTCCGGGAAGGCTAAATTTCGGCGACTCTATGGGGCCTTCGATTATTCCACGAACGATTACCGGACGTCCAGGCATAGTCTGAGTCTGGGGTCAGCAAACTCCGACCTGCGGGCCCAGTCCTGCCCGCTTCCTGTTTTTCATGGACCACAAGCTGAGAGTTTTAAAATATCTTTTAAGTGGTTTAAAACAATCAAAAGAAGAATCTTCAGTGGCATGTGAAAACTATGTGAAACTCTTGTATTACTGAATCCAGTATTTTCAGTATCTTTAAAGGTTGGCCGACTACACCCTTGGGCCAAATTATGTCTGCCTGTGTTTGTAAATAAAGTTTTATTGGAACACAGCCAGGCCCATCCTTTAAGAGATTGTGGAAGGCTGTTTTCACACTACACAGGCAGAGTTGAGTAGTGAAGAGTTAATTCGTTGCACAAAGATGGAATGGCATAAACAGAGCCTAGAATATTTACTATCCAGACTTTCACAGAAAATGTTTGCCAACCCTCTTCCCTCCCCCACCCCCAGATGGTAGGTTCAACTATAGGTAGGACAAACAACCCACACTCTCCTGGAGCTTCTATTCTAATGCCGGGACACTGACAATAAACAGAATAAATAACATATATAGTTATTCAGGAGAAGGGGCTGGAGAGAAAACTTGTTCTGGGAAGAAACAGGCAGGGCAGTTTCACGGAAGATTAGACCTCAGCCCTATTCATTCATTCATTCAGTCAGTCATCCATTCATTCATTCACTCAACAAGTAATCATATTAGTAAGCACCGATTAAATTGTTCTTAGGTGCCAGAAACTGATCTAAGCATTTTTTTGTATGCTAACTCAGTTGAATCTCACACTCACATCCTGAGAAATGTGCTATGCAGTATCCCTATATAACAGATCAAGAAACTGAGGTCTGGAAAGAATGAGTGAGTTTGCACAGTGCCAAAGAGTTTGTAAGGGCTACCCCAGCAGTCTGGGGGCCAAAGCCTGTGCATTTGACCAGTAAGTAGATGAGTGGTTTTCAAACATTTTTGACCCCAACACCACAGCAAAAAATACATTTGACCCAAAGGCCCAGTCCACACAAACACAAAATAACTAAAATAAAATTTTCATAACATGATACTTTAGGCAAGTATGCTTGATCTTTTCTATTCTATTCATTTTAATGAAAATGCTGATGGTCATCTGCTGAATTGATTTTGCAACTTTCTAACAGGTTGCTTCTTTCAGATTTTTGTGTGATGGAGTCTTAAGCTTAGGACTGCAGGAATCAGTTCCTTTCCTTCAATTATTAATTTAGTCAAAAATATTTATCAAGTGCCTACTATTTGTCAGACACCATTCTAGGTGCTAGGGACACAATTCACACGCTTATAGGAAAAGTGATATAATAGCAACTCGGGGGATGACTGGGTTGGACTTATTTTGGGTAGAGTAGCCAGGGATGGTCTCTCAAAGGTGACCAACCACCCTCAGTGGCTTGATATTATGGGGTTTCCCAGGACTTGAGGCTTTCAGTGCTATATATGGGAAGTTTCTGGACCACGGAGGAAGAGCTGGTCACTCGAGGCCTCTCTGAGAGGGTGACATTTGGGCCAACGTTGGAATAATGAGGACAGGGAAGAAAATATCAAGAATTCAAAATCTCTGGGATGGAAACTCATTTTATTTATTTATTTTTTTATTTATTTTGATGGAAACTCATTTTAAAGAAACAGCAGGGTCACTGGATATGGCTGGAGCAGAAAGAATGGGGAGGTCATAAATCAGTGGGGGGTAGTGAGTCAGGGGATGGAGGGGATCATTTCATTTCAAGTCTGATAAGCCATGGGAAGGGTTTCTCATCAGATTGGGAAGCCATTGGAGGGTTTTAAACAGGAGGGAGATGTAATCAGATTGGTGATTTGTGATTTTCAAAAAGCTCATTGTATGGGGAACAGACTGTAGGAGGCAAGAAAGACAGAGCGAGAACTCAGGAGACTTTTACAGTTCTCCTGGACTGACAAGTATAGTGGCTTGGTTTAGGGACCTGGGGGTGGGGATAAGCGGGTGGCCTGAAGGTACATCTTGAAGAACATTCTGATGGACAGGATGTAGGGAGTTGAGTGATAAAATTTTAGGGCATGATGGGAGGTGACTTGTGGCCATGTTGTACAGCCCATTCTGCTATAACTCTTGTTTTGAAAATGCAAATTTGTCCCAACTTGATGCCATATTTACAGTAATCTTTATGTATTTCTTAACCCTTTAACACATGTAAAACTCTGCTATCTCAAAGAAGAAATGGTGAGAAAATAGAAAATACTTTGGAATTAGAAATATTCAAAATTAGGGACACCTGGGTGGCTCAGTCCGTGAAGCAACTGCCTTTGGCTCAGGTCATGATCCCAGGGTCCTGGGATCGAGTCCCGCATCGGGCTCCTTCCTCGGCAAGGAGCTTTCTTCTCCCCCTCCTTGTGCTCTCTCTCACTCTCTCTCTCTCTGACAAATAAATAAATAAAATCTTAAAAAAATATATTTGAAATTAGAAAATTAAGAAGGGCACCTGGATGGCTCAGTCAGTTAAGCACCTGACTCTTGATTTCGGCTCAGGTCATGATCTCAGGGTCCTGGGATCAAGCCCTGAGTTGGGCTCTGCACTCAGCGCAGAGTCTACTTATCCCTCTCTCTCTGCTCCCACCCCTGTTCTTGCTCTCTCACTCTCTCAAATAAAGAAACAAATAAAATATTTTTAAAAAGAAATTAGAAATTAGAAAATACTTGGAGATGAATGAAAATGAAACACAACATACCAGAATTTGTGGGGTTCAGCTAAAGTGGAGGAATATTTATAGCTGTAATCACCTGTGTTAAAAAAGAAAGAAAGACCTCAATTCAATAATTGAATCTTCCACCTTAAGATCTGGAAAATAAAAGTAAACCAAACCCAGAGCTGGCAGAAGGAAGGAAATAATAAAGATTAGAGTGGGAATAAATGAAATAGAGATTAGAAAATCAATAAAGAGAATTAAGAAGATCACAAGTTAGTTCCTTGAAAAGATCAGGAAAGCTGACAAATCTTTAACTAGACTGACCAGGATAAAAAGAGAAAAGACTCAAATCAGGAATCAAAGAGGGGACATCACAAACAACTTTACATAGATAGAAAAGATGGTAAAGCAATGCTATGAACAACTGTATGCCAATAAATCAGATATCCCAGATGAAATGGGCAAATTCCTAGAAAATGACTCAAGAAGAAACAGAAAATCTGAGTGAACCCATGAAAGGAGAAAAACTGCAGAAACGTTCCACAAAGAAAAGCCTAGGACCAGATGGCATCACTGGTGAATTCTACCAAATGTTTAAAGAAGAACTAACACAAATCCCTCAGACTATTCTTAAAGATAGAAGAGTAGGGAATACTCTGTGCGGCCATTCTAACATTCTATGAAACCAATATTATCCTATCCTGATACCAAAATCAGACAAAGACATCACAAAAAGAGAAAACTAGAGACCATTATCCCTTATGAAGACAAATGCAAAAATTCTCAGCAAAATAGTAGCAAACCAAATCTAGCAATATATAAAAAGATTTACCCACCATGGCCAAGTGGAATTTATCCAGGAATGCAAAGTT